CTCGAGTTCGATCCTCGCCGAGGTTAAAAAAATGTATACAAATTTCAAGTACAAAACAAAAAATAAAAACAATCATTTGGAGTATTCAACATTAATTCTAAAATCTACATAGACTTCGGCAAGGCCTTAACGAAGATTCGTCTTCAGAAATCATGTCCCACGCCTTAATTGCACGTTCAATCATGGCAATGCGCTTTGCTTTTGCAGTTGTTGCAGTGTTCTGAGTGACAACCCACAAATCACGCAGATGCTGTTTGAACGGTCCCATAATAGAAACGTCCAACGGCTGACAATGAGAAGTGCTGTTTGGTGGAAGTGGACACAGTTCACTTCCAAGCTCGTCGCGGACAATACACTCGCTTTCTTCGCTGACATGGCTATCGAAGTTATCCACCAGGAGAATTGATGGGTCTTCAATGCTTGATTGGAGCACCTCACGAAGATAGTATTTCCATACCGATCCATTCATCCACGCCTTCTTTTGCATGGCGTAGAAGTGGCCCGGGGGATAGTCGTCGAATTCGTTGGTCTCAATACCGCTACCAGCCTTGCCACGGATGACAAAAAGAATCGGCAGCTTGGCACCATCTCCACGAATCGTGAGCAGCGCGGTCATACGGTAGGAGTGGCTTTCAGAGTTGGCTACATAACTACCACCACCACGAACAGCCCAAATCGTACTTGGACACATGTCGTAGTACATTCCCGTTTCGTCAGCGTTGTAAACAGTGTCCATTGCTACCCCAGGATACTTGTCGTGGAAGTATCGTCCGAATTCGAGGCGTGTTGCTTCAAGGTCTTCCTGTGTCTTCTTCTGCCTGCAGATTCGCTGCTTGGAAAAGCCATGGCGGTCAGCGAAGTGCTGGAGGAGCCGTAGCAACGACTTGTACCCAGTCTTGCGTGTCGACATGTAGTTCTCAATCCAGTCGATATGGTCAGCGCGGAGGAACTGAAGCATGTGTGACGACGTCACAACAAGCTCTTGACGACGGAGATCTTTCATGTGGATAACAAGGTCGTGGGCGTCTGGTATGATGGGCATTGCTCCACAGTTGCCTGAGTTTCGCTTGCGCGCTTTGGAGCCACTAAAGTTGCGCAGTTTATCCTGCTCCATGATCCAACGTCGCACGGTCCGCTCGCCGTATCCCAAGGACTGCGCGGCATGGTGTACACTTGACGCTGTGGCAATCTGTACAGCGTGCAGCTTCTGTGCGATTGACGGTCTCGTTCTGTGCGTGATGCCTTCGGGTATAGAAGCACACCCTCGGTAGCCATTTGAGGAGGCAATCGTCTTGTGGAGGTAGGTGGCTGTCAAATTTATTTGAAATTGCCGCGAAATAATTTTATCCAATTATGTAGCATAAAATTGAACATGAGAATGCGATTGGTTAATTATAGAATTATTTTC